TGATCAAAGGACTTGGAACTGTACACACACTGTACTAATGCCACACTCCTGGTTTTGATACTGTACCATCTTTGCGTAGGATATGGGCACACTAGACACTCTATCTGTGCAACTTCCTGTGAATCTATAATTATTTCAAAATAAAAAGTTCTATTTTTGCAGCTTCCTGTGATTCTATAACTATTTCAAAATCAAAAGTTAAAATCCCCAGCAATCCCAGTGGGGACTCTAGCTGGGGGACAGGGTCCCAAAGGTCTCTGACAAGAGACCCACTGGGGACTTAAATCCCTGATCATCACCTAGGAGTGCCTGAGGCCTCTGCTGGCATAACTCCAGGCATTGCTTACAGTCTTCTAACAAGAGGAAACTGGGCAATAGGCTCATGGACGTGCCTCGACTTCTGGAGGCCAAAGGCTTATGGAGGAGGCCAGGGTGGAAGCAGGACTCTGTGACTTTGGTGCCTTTACTCGTCCTTCCATCTTTTCCTCCAAAGAGGTAGATGGTCTCCATTTTGGGTGACCAAGTGTTCTAAATACTTTCTGCAATCGATGATTCCTTCCTGTTGATGATTCTTCCACTGGCGCCTATAATTGACAATTCTTCCTCTAATTGACATTGGGTGGTACGCCTCCTCTTCTGTGGCGGGTGACCACTATTTTGGGTGACATCCCACCCCCCCAACCGGGGAGGCAGTGGAACCAGGCAACTAGGTGCCCCCTGTGAGTCATGTGACCCCTCCGAGCCTCCTCCCCAGGACTATAAAATGAGAAGAGTAATAGCACCTTCCTCACAGGGTTAGTGCAGCTACACATGTGACGCGCTCAGCTGTGGGCACAGCTTATGACAAGCATGTGATAAACAGAACTGGGTTCAAATCCCAGCCCTGCCAATTGTCAGTGGTGACATCCTTCAGTTTCCCTTCTAAGGGAGATGATGGGATCGGATATTGGCAGGACTGACCTGGTGGGTGTGGCATGAGAAATCATGAGCGCAGCAAGCACTTTGCACAGTGGCTGTCATAGAATGAGTGCTCTGTCACAATGAGCTGTTAGTATTATGGACACTGTCACTTGCTCTGCTTGACCAACAGTCCTTGGTGACGTTGAGTCACACACCTCTGGCTGCTCAGCTCTAGCCTGGGCTTGACAGAGAGACCCTATTGTTTCCCTCCCATTATCCAGGGAAGATATTCTGGGCAGACCAGACTCTGGGATGGGGGTGGGGGGTGTCTTCTGTTTGGCTGCTGCCCTGCCTGTGAGGCCCATGAGGCCCGTGAAGCCCGTAAGGCCCGTGAGGCCCATGAGGCCCGTGAGGCCCGTGAGGCCCGTGAGGCTGAGGTTGTCTCCTCCTGTCCAGAGAGCAGGCTGGAGTTAGAAGCCAGGAGGGTGGGGAAGAGAGAGGCTTGTCTACTCCTGAGTGGTGCTATGCGTCCCCAATCCTGGCCCAGGGGAGGACGCTTGGGAGTAGCCCCCCCTGGCCTGGAGCCCTTTCATCGATGAGGATATCACAGCTGCCTACTGCAGGCACTGTCCTCAGAACAGGATTGGGCGCCACCAGGGATGGCTTGTCTCAGCCAGAGCTGACCTGGGAGGTTGGCGGGAGAAGAGGGAAAGGAGATCCATGTTGTCATGACCCTGGCCTGGTGCCTGGGCGTCCTCCTTCCTACATGGGGTGGCCTGTCCCTGGCAACACAAGACCTGCTCCGCTCTACGCGAGCCCAGCCAGACGTCATCTCCTGCATCTGTCCCCGTCTCTCTGAGCCACCATGCCATGGGTTCTGACTCTTCCTCAGCTTGTCATTTCCCAAGGGAGGGGTGCCAGCAGCCTGTTCCTGTTGACGGGGCCCGAGTAGAGCACACTCGTGTTCTTCATGAACTTGTTCCTTACACCATCTTCAACAGCTGAGGAAGTGGCTATCTTGGACTCCTCTCTTTCCCTCCCCTCCTGCTTTAGCAAGCTCCATCAATTCCTCTTACGAAAGAGGTCCTGACCTGTCCACTCTCGTCATCTCCACTTCCTCTCTCTTGGTCTCCTGAGCCCTTTGCCTGCATCTGCTGAGCAGCTGTGCTCATTGTCCCCACAGGTGTCAGCGGGGTCTTAGAAACCTCAGCCCCTCTGAAACATTCCTCTGTGTCTCATCCTCCAACGACAACCCAGTTCACTCTGAGTAAAAGCCTGAGCCCTAACCATGGCCTATAAGGCCTTCTGTGATCAGGCGCCCTTGGGCAACTGCTCTGGTTCACCAGCCCTGTCCAGGCATGCTGGTTTCTTTCTTGTTCCTGAGCATAACAAGTGCATTCCCACCATGGGCCTTTGCACCTGATCTTGGCTTTTCCCTGCATCTACATTTCTCAGAAATGGACAGAATTTCCTCCCTTGCTTCCTTCTGCTCTCTACTCAAATGCTCTCTACTCTTTCTAAAACAGCACATTCTGGCCCAGCACGTTCTGTCCTATCCTGCTTAATTTCCTTCTTAGCACGCTCACTATCTGACCAACACTTGTTTATCTGATTATCATCTGTCCGTTCCACAGGATGTCAGCTCCGTGAGGTCAGAGTGTTTCTTCTTGGTCACTGCGGTATCCCTAGAGCCCAGCATAGAACTGGCACATAGGAGGTGCTCAGTAAATGTGTGTTGATGGAACAGATGAATTCTCTCCCAGGAGAGGGGTGGAGTGTGACACCCTGAATTTTGGTCCTCCTTGTGTGTCATCAACTGAATGCTAGTCCCTCCTATGAGATGGGTCTTTGCATCAGATCACTTCATTTTTCCTGAACTTCAGAGTTTTGCCTATGACTTTCAGGACTTCTGTCCTGTCTGTGAACCTTTATTTCATACATCTCTTTAAATTAATTCACTTGATAGATTTTTTTTTTTAAGCTTAGCCTCCTCCTAAGCTTTTATTTAAAAAAAAAAAATCACCAGTTTGGTATGCTGGTGCCCTTTTTCTCTGATACGTGCTAAATGAAACATACGTATTAGCATAAAAGTTGCTGTCCCTTCCTCCTGGGATCAGCTGGCTCATCAGCATGGTGCTCGGGTAGTGCTTTGGGCAGCACAGGGTTACTTCAGTCCCTCATTATTGACACTGCTGTGCTCCTCAGGGCGAAGTCCTTAGGGGCATTCCTCCCAGGCCAGACGTGCTGGAGCCAGGGTCTGTTGTCAGAGGACAGGTGTGTCAGGGCGGGGTCCCTGTGCGTGTGCCAGGGATCCAGTGGAGATGGCTCCCGGAGCTGCTGTGAAGCCCCTACTAGTCTCTGCCCCATCCCCGACCACTCTCTGGCCTTGTTTTCAGCTCCTGGAATTTTGCCAAATATGTTCCCACTTGGGGCCCCCATACACGCTGTCCCCGTGGGACTTTCCTGTCAGTGGGATGCCTCCCCTGACCCCTGAGACCCCAAGACACACCTCCATTCTGCGCTCTAGAAGCCCCCCTTGCACTGGTCTCGGGAGCAGGTATCACAGGTTGCAGTTGGGCATTATGCATGAAGCCATTGGTTCAATGTCCTCCTCTCTACAAGACTGAGAGAGCCCCGCGAGGAAAGGGCTCGGGCAGGCCTCGGGGTCTGTCCCCTCCCCGCCGCTCCTAGCCCCACTACCAGCTTCAGCTCTGCCTTGCTCCTGCAAGGGACTTCCCAGTCCAGCTGAGGCAGCCTCATCGCCTTCCCTCCCAACATGGTTTGGTTAGTCCTGCCTCTCAGTCTTGACTGTGGCCTCTGTAGTATCCTCTGCCTTCTTCAAAAACCAACTCTGTTCAGGAGCTGTAACCACACGGCAGCTCTACTCTTAGGGTTCCCTCAGGACCCTTCGGCCCATGAGCTCCCGGTGCTTCTCACCAAGATGGCGGAGCGCACAGTGGTGAGAGCTGTGGGCTCTGGGCTTAAGTTGGGGCTGTGCAGTTATCAGCTGGGGGACCTCAAGGAAGTGATTTAACCTCTGTGCCTCAGCTCCTCTGGGTTTGCAAATGTCAATGCATCAGAATCACCTGGAGGGGCCCCACCCCAGCATTCCTGGTTCCTGCAGTCTGGCGTGGGGACTTGAGAATCTTATCTTTTTTCTTTTTTCTTTTCCTTTTCTTTCCTTTTCCTTTCTTTTCTTTTTTAAGATTTTATTTATTTATTTGAGAAAGAGCACACACGAGCGAGGTGGAGGGTAGAGGAAGAGGGAGAAGCAGACTCCCCACTGAGCAGGGAGCCTGGTGTGGGGCTTGATTCCAGGACCCCGAGATCATGACCTGAGCCAAAGGCAGATGCTTAACCATCTGAGTCACCCGGGCGCCCCGAGAATGTGCCTTTCTAACAAGTTCGCAGGTGATGTAGATGCTGCTGGTGCGGGACCCCACTTTGAGAGCCATTGTCATACTAGTTAGGGAAGGTAAGTGGAGATTAATTAATGTAGATCAGGTAGAACCATGGGGCACATAGCAAGTGCTCAGCAACTCTTAGTTATTAATACCATTTGTACCGGAGAGTCTGGCCCTCTTCAAATTGCCAACAGGGGTTATGGAAAAAAAGAACTGAGTCCAGGGCCTGGCCACTCTGTTTCCTAGCTCTGGGATCCTAGGAAAATGACCTAGCTTCTCTGAGCCCCAGTGTTAATCTTCACAGCATTGTCCCGTCCCTTCCCAGGATGGCCTGAGCTTCCTGAAGGGGCTCCATACACAGCTGGTGCCTACTTAATGTTTCTTGAACCAAAAAAGTAAAGCTGGAAAGGCTGGAGCTGCGGAGTATGGCATGAATGTGAGAGATGGCAGTCAAACCAACACAGGCCCACGAAACACCCCGACCTGCAGGGGACAGGAGGGGATGTGAGTGAGTGAAGGGGCCAGACCCAGCCCACAGCTGCCAGCTCAGAGTGGGGGCAGCTTCAGGGCGGTGGCCTTGGGCTCAGGGCTAGAATTCTTGGGCCCTTGTCCCCACACAGGACCTTGCAGAGGGCAAGGAGAGGGGTGGCAGGCTCCCCTAGGATGGATCAGAAATCATCAGGATCTAGACAGGTGCATGGCTTCATGGCCTTTATTTCAGTCCCTCTGTACAGGTCCTGGGGCCGGGTGTGGAGACCAGGCAGGGGGTAGCAATAAATAACATGGATGGACAGACGGAGCTCCCCTCCAGACAGATGAGGTTAAAGGAGGTTAGAGAGGAGCCACAGTGCAGGGTGGGTGCTGGTAGGGCCGGGGGCAGCTGGGAAGGAGGGGAGGCCAGGCCCCCAGGACCTCACTGTCACCTGCCCCCTCCCTTTCCTGCCCCAGCCCCACCACTCTGAGGAGCAAGAGAGCCCATAGCCAGTAGGGGCCAGTGAGGGTCCTGAGGGAGGGGTGGCCACACAGGCTGCCCCCAGCTCCCTCACTTGACACGGATTTCAGCATACTCGGCCAGCTCCTCTGTCAGGGTGTAGCTGTCCTTGGTGGGTCGTTTTCCCAGGTCCGAGTGAGAATAGCTCAGGTCCAGCTCTGGGGGTTCCCCCCGAAGGCCCAGCAGCCTCCTCTCAGATCCCAGTCGCCTCTCACTCTATGAACAGAACCAGCCCATTAGAAGGGTCTTGTGCCACCTTTTTCAGGGGCAAAGGCTGCAGTTACTTGCACCCACACAGCTCCAGAGTTGAGTCCCAAAGCCCCGTCCGTGTAGACCTCCTTTCTCAAGGCACGCTGGCGCAGCCTGGGGCCTTTGTCCTTGCTGGTGCTCCATGCACAACAGCCTCTTCTTTGCTAAGCCTGAGAGTCATCTACAAATCCAGGAAGCCCTCTTCAACATAGGAATTTGGGGGGGCACACGATTCAACCCATAGCATCTTCGCCGATTAAGGCCACCTGGTCGGGATCCCGCCTTTCCAAATGTGTGTAAGTGCCTGGCTCTGGACGGCCTTCCCCTATGTTTGGGTCTGGGGTGGCTCCCCTCCTCAATCTGGGAGATCCTTCAGGGGTGACTTTGGCTTCCCTGTCCTGTGTTCCGCCCCGCCCCCACCCCTACAGGGGGCCTTTGGACACAGACACAGGACAGTGGCCACAGATAAAAGGGAGCAGCAACAGGACAGAATAGACAAGGCCAGGAGGGCTGGGCAGAGTCAGACTTAACCAGGGAACATCCTGGATGCCTGACGAGAACGCACACACATGCACGCCAACCCCGAGGCCCGACAAGGGCCCAGAGGTGGGCACATTGAGGCCCCTGGAACCTACCTCCTGGGGCGCTCATTCCAGGGTAGAGACCTCTCTGGACTATTGGAGAAGGAAATGCAGTCATAGACCCAGGTGGAGAGGATGGGGGCTGCCCTCCACTGAGTCCCTCAGCCCCCTTTGCAGGATCAGCCTGAGCACCGCTCCCAGCCCAGGTACAGCCACCCTCCGCACCTCCTCCCTTTCCCTTCTGAAGGGACCAGCCTCCCGTCTGCCCCTTGGCCTCCCAGGCCCTCCCAGGCCCTCCATGTCCTTGGCACCCAGTTTCTCCAGCTAGTCTGGAACCACAGGCCTCTGGCCCTCACCTCATACTTCTCTGGCGCCCCAGAGATGCGGAAGTCGCTGCTGAACAGGACCGGGGGGTTGTCCCCCGCCGAGAAGCTGGGGCTCTCTGTCACATTCTTTCTGCAGAGCAGGACGTGTCAGCCCCAGCAGGAGTCCCAGGCCTCCCTCTCCGCTCCCTTTCTGCACCCCATCTACCTTAAGAGTTTGGCTCAAGGGACCCCAGGGCTGTTCCCACCCATCTCTCTAAGACAGGGTAGATGGCCTCTTCAGAATGACCAGCCTCTTCCTGTCCCCCACTGCCCATCCCTCCATCTAGTCCCTGGTCTCTGCCACTTTTGGGGAACCCAGCCTGGCTTCCTAGGGTTCTTTCCATGTGCTCTGGCTCTGTCAGCCCCTCTTGCTACCAGGATGTGGAGCAGAAGGATGAATTTGTTTTCAGGGCAGCTGATGTGTGTGTGCCACAAGGAGGAAAAACAGCAAAGGTATGGTAGGTGGGTGTGGTTTGGGGCTGGGGAGTGTGTTTGTTGCCGGGGACGATGTGTGTAATCACCCGGGCCCTGGAACCAACTGTGACCGACCCTGTGGCTACGAGCCAGGGGTAGCTGGCTTTCCCGCATCGCACCGCAGCGTGTGCAGGAGGGTTCCTAGAGGCCAGGAGGCTATGGCCACAGAATGTAGAGACAAGGTAGCCAACAGGGAAAAGTGCTGCGCCTGGGCACTGGCCCACCCTTACATGTTAGCAGGAGCCTCCTCCATGCAGCCAAACATCCACAGAGCAGAATCGCCCTCCCACACACATGCAGGACTGCCCTCCCTCGCCCACCTGCTGCCTCTAACTGACCTCCCTGCCTCCCCAGCCCCGGGAGACTCCCTGCCTCCCCAGATGAGCCCTGACAGGCCACTCACTTTCTGCGTGTCTGGGTAATGTAGCAGACGATGGCAATTAGGATGGCAAAGGCTACCACGGCTCCCACGGGGCCGATCTTGGCCCACATCAGGCGGTCTGAGGACAGAAGACCCAGGCACCCTCAGGAATGCTGGTGGTAGTGAGGACACCCTGGGGTCTTGGGAGATGGGCTGGGGCAGAGGTAATGGTGAAAACATTTCCGTAGCTGGCATGGCCTTGCACTGCCTGACTGGCCTGGAGGGCTTAGTGGCCAGAGGGTCCAGGCAAACATTAAAGCGCAGGCAACCCAGGGCAGCCTCTCCTTACCAACTGGAAAGGGCATCTTTACTGCTTGATCCACCTGCGTCGCCTGACCCGTGCTTGGTGGCTGATGCTCAGCCTCAGGGAGGGAAGCCTGGATTCAAGAGAAGCCCTCTCCACCCCCGTGGCTCCCAGCCCCCGATCACAGCACTCACGGGCTCCCTGGAAGGGCAGCTCCAGGCTCTTGGTGCCGTAGAGGTTGTGGGCCGTGCAGATGACCCGGGGAGGGGCCTGGGCCTGGCCCCGCAGCGTGAGGATGCTGGTGAGCAGGAGGCCGCTGCGCTCCGAGTACACGAACTCCCGCTCCGTCTCGTTCACGGTCACATTGCGTGAGGGCAGCTCGAAGGCCACGGACGGCTCTGGGTTGGATTTCACCACGCACAGACACTGCACTGTGTCCCGGGCTGCTGCGCAGTGGGACTCCAGGAGGATCAAGGGGGCAACTGCAGGGGCAAGAAGGACCAGGACTCAGGGGACTGGCGCCAACTGGAGGCTGAGCCTTAGGGGACTCCTTGACGGAGCAGGTGGTAGCTATCTCAGAGACGAGCTGCATTTCCCCCTTTGCACATCTCTGGCTCTACTCAGATGACATCTCTTTCTCTGACCACTCACAGAAATTGCACCTCGCTTCACCAACCATTTGCTCCCTGTCTCACTTGGGTTTTGCTCCCCAGCATTTATCCTACCCATGTGAGATACCCATACAGCTGGGATCTTGCCTCCGTCAAGTCAGGCTCTCGCTCTGCCTCCACTCTGTCCCCACTCTTGGAACGCGCCTTTCACATAGCAGATCTCTGTGAAGACTGATATGGGCTATTGAGTCCTGCCGGCTCCCCTCCCTGGCCACCTGCAGATGCCCCTGCTGACTCCATCGAGCCCCCTTGCACCCTGACTGTCCCCCCTTCATGGGATCCTCCACTGCCACGGGCACCAACCCCCGCCCTCCACCCAAGATCATTGTGTTGAGCTTTCCTTTGCTGCCATTTATATTACAAAAATGGTACTGGCCTGGTTTTTGTGGGGTTTTTTTTGTTTGTTTGTTTCTTTCATTTTCTAAAATATGATACAATAGAACATCGAATGTTGTTTTTAAAAGTATATTCTCTTTCCCTCCTGAAGAATCCAGCACCAGAGTCTGCTGTCTCTAGACTGAGCCCTGGTTCTCAGTTCCGACCAGAACCCTACTTACACACGGCCAAAGGACCCTCGGGCCATCTACCCCCACTTACTTTCAATTTCCGGCAAAAAAAAAAGAATATGCAGGTAACAGTGACGGGCCAGGGAGTCACGTGGCTGGATTCGACCTCGAGATGGTTCCAACTGGAACCTCAATTTGTACTTGCGTCTAAATTTAGTAAATTAAAAATATATAGCCCGAAATCTGTTCAGGCAAACATGCACTATGCTTGTTGTAGTGTTAGTGAATTAACACCCCACAGAGTAAGTGAATAATGACAAGCCTGAACCAACAGCTATTAACATTTTTTTAGAAACCCTTTCATTCAAGACTGCACCCCTACTGCTCTGGTGAGAGTGTCCGCCCTCTATCCCTTGCCGCCACCCTGCCTGCATGTGCTTAGTATCTCCGCAGCTTCGCAGGTGGCCTGGGAGACCTGGGAACTGACTCTTTACAGACCCCCAGTCCCACAAAGAATGGGGAGTTTGGGGTGGGACAGCTTTGGCTTGAAGCCCAGCTCTGCCATTTACTGGCCCCGATCAGGCCATTAGGCTTCCCTAGGCCTCCAAGGTGGAGTTTTCATCTGTGCAAACAGGAGTATTGGTCCTTTTTCGCAAGGGCCTATGGGAACTCTGAAGCCAGGCTCACAAGTGTGATATAAAGGCTTAACATTCCTCCCAAGGATTCAGGATGAGAAAAATGAAACCATTCCAGCAGGGGGAGCACGTGAGCAAAGCCTTGACCGCAGGCACTTAGGACGGGCACCGAGCCTGGAGTCCAAGGGAGAGATTAGTGGGAAATTATTTACGGAGCACAGAGGATGGCTCAGGTGCTGTTGGGCGCTCAGCATAACGTCCAGACTCTTCACAACCTTCTCTGGGGTAAGCTACGGTTATCATATACCCATTTGCCGATGGAGAGACTCAGCAAAAGTGAAGTCACTTGTCTGGGATCATGCAACAAGATGGAAGACAGAGTGGGGATTCTGACCTGGGGCAGTTCAGCTCTGTCTGGTGCTGGACACCAGCTCACACTTCAGTTTCCTTCTCTTAAACTGGGGTGAAGAACAGTCCCTCACAATCATGTTGTGGCGAGACCAAAATAGGTCAGGATGCGCCAAGGGCTCAGACTAGTCCCCTGCACACGAGCACTTAGTAGAGGTGAGTACCTTGCTGCATGTCCCTCACCAAGCTGGATCCTGGTTCAGCGATGGTTCAGCGAGTAAGAAGGAAGCCCCACACTAGGGGCACCTGCCATTGTCGGCGAGGGGACACAGACTTCAGGGACAGAGAGGAGCCTGAGGGATGCCGTGCTCAGCAGCCTGAGACCGGGATGATGATAATGCATATCTGCCTCACAGGATGACCACACGGGCTCCACAGAAGAACACCTGCAGAGCTCGGGGTCCTGCCCAGAGCAGACCACGAACGACCATTTGCTGCACAGGAGAGCCTGTGACTGCCCATGGACGTGAGACGCTGCGGTGTTCGTGCTCGGGGGCCTCCATCCAATTCTCAGGGGACTCTCTAACCCTCCGACTTAAAAGGCCACTGGCTGGGGGTGTGACAGGGAAAAGGGGTGTAGCAGAAGGAGGAAGCTGGGCCCAGGAGGGCGAGGATGGAGAAAGCAGAACACCCCACAACTCATGATCACCGTGGGTACTGCGAGCAAGCAGAGGCTGGGAGGGAATGTGCCCCAAAGCGAAAGGTTAGCACAGCAGTGCGTGGCCACCCCTTTGCCTTGCAAGGTGGCACTCCAGAAATAGTCTGTATCTACCACGTAGTGATGATTACCACATCCAAAGTACTGAGTAGGCATGGGTGCTCAATACCGTCTGGGGACCACTGTAGGTGGATTAATGGAGGCGGGGAGTGGTAAAGTATGGAGACTAGTGCCAGAGGCCGGGCAGGAGCTGAAGAGGAGGCAGAGGAGATGGCAACATGGAGGTGACATTCCAGAGGGAGTTGCTGCAGGAGATGGAATGGAAACCGCAAGCTGGGAGCTACAGCCCCGCGCACGGGCTGGGGTCAAGATGGGGGTGGGGGTGTTGGCGGTGTCATCCAGTGGGGAGGTCGGGACAGGTGGTGATTGCCAGTGGAAGGTTGAGCTTCATTTCCAAGACCTCCAGGCTTTCTATGTGCATCCATCCCGTTGATCTGGCTATACTGCATCTGTTAATAAGCTTGGTGTCCTCTTGGTCCTCTCCCCCATGTCCCCCAGAGTCACCCTGCCCTTGGCACATAACAACTGCTTGATCAGTGTATTCTGATGTAATAACATAGGATGAGGTCAACCATGGCAGTACAGAACAGTGGAGCCAGACTGTCTGGATTTGAACCGTTCTCTAGCTGTGTGACCTTGGGTAAATGGCATAACCTCTCTGGGCCTCAGTTTGCTTCTCGGGAAACTGGAGACAGTAATAGAACCTCTCTCCTGGGAATGTCATGTGGATCAATTGAGTGGATCCCCGTACAAAGCTTCCAGCAATGCCTGGTACATAGCAATGCAACTCAAGGGTTAGATGTTGTGGTTATTGGTGAATGCAAAGGGGTCAGAGGCCACAGGATCCAGAAATCTCCTTGGTCAAAAGCACACCCCAGGATGTGGGAACACAGTACTCTCAGGTGGGACTTCCAATTTCTTGCTGTGGATTCAGCTTCCCTCCCTTGCTCATTCTCATCTACTGGTGCAAAGCTGACCCTTGGTTGGGATGCATGGATGCTTCCCAGTAACCCAGGTGCCCCCACTGAACCATCCACTGAGACAGGGAATGTGGAAGGAGATCAAGTCCAGCTGGCTCTCAGCAGGACAATGGGAGAGGAGCGGGGGGGTGGGGGGGGAGTGGGGGGGGTACTCACATTCCACGGATAGGTTGAAGGTGGTGGCCCTCTGGCCATACTGGTTCTCAGCCACACACCAGTACTCTCCGTCATCCTCTGGAGTGACGGCAGGCAGCTCAAGCTGCAGCTCGCTCTCGTAGATGACCGTGGCCAGAATCTGCTTCTCCTTGAAGATGGTGAGAATAGGATCCGGGTTGCTCTGTGTGGAGCACAAGATGGAGACCGTCTCCCCCTCCACGGCCACCATCGTCCCGTTCACCATCGGCTTCCGGGGTGCATCTGGGGGGGGCAGGACAGAGGGCGCCAATGGTCAGAAGCCAAGGGTGCCTCTTCTGCCAGCCAACTCCCACCCCCAATGTGACCCCATATACCCCAATCTCAGCACACTGGCTCAGGATGGTTCAGGTAACCCCTGTCTGGCTATCCCGTTTACAAGAACAGGGGCTCTGTGGTCAGAGCGCTTGTGCTCGAATCCCAGCTCTACCCCTTACCAGCTGGGTGTGGACCCATGTCCTAACCCCTCGGGGCCTCATTTCTCTTATCTGGAAAATGAGCTTAATAATAGTCCCAACCACACAGGAGCCACTGAGAACCTATGGGACAGGCGCTGTTTTAGCCTGAACAAAGTAAGATGAAGATTCCCAACCACCTGAGTGGACACTGTGTTAGTAAATAAATGTAGTTGGCAAGATGGGGATAAGGGCTTTGTAGAAAAGGAAACGTGGTATGGGAAATCAGGGTATTTGGAGTTTTAACTAGGATGGTGAGGGAAGGCTTCCCTGAGAAGAGAAGAGGTGGGTCGGGGCCAGCCGTGGGGATGTCCGGGGTAAGCGTATTTGTGGAAAGCTCTCAGAAACTGCTGAGTAAATGTTGGCCGCAGCTCTCATTATTATTATCCACAGCCCTGGGCATTTTGCCTCAATAAATATTTGTGAATGAATGAATGACCTCTCCTTGGTTCCTAACAAAGAACCTTATCTGACCAGCCCGTTGTTCCCCGCCCTCCCCGGGGGACTCCAGAATGTACACAGTGTGCAAGGGTCTGGGTGAGGTCTGGGGTCCCTTCGTCCCTCTCCCTACAGCTGCACTGGGGCTCATTGGGAAATGCGGATTTCCAGGGCCCAGATCTACTCCTAGACCAGCCAAGGCTGGTCTGAAGGAAACGGAGTTTCACTGGCTCCCCTGGGGGACAGGGACCCATCTGTCTTCGCACCTCGTCTGGGGGATGAGAGTGGTGCGCAGTAGGTGTTCATCAGATACTTGTGGGACGCAGGAAGGAATGCCTTGACCCGCAGCCCTCCGCTCCACCTTGGCCTCCACCTTGTTTGTGGCCTGGGGGGCCCGCCCCCGCCCCCCGCCCAGCTCCACCAGCCCCCTGGCTCCGCCGCCTGTCTCCCCTCCTCTGTCCGCCTGGGGCCGGTGCGGGGCGCGGGCGCCACTCACACATGACACTGAGCCCCACGGTGCGGTTGTCCTGGCCGTAGGCGTTCTCTGCCAGGCAGGCGTAGACGCCGTCCTCCGCGGGGGTCACCTCTTCCAGATCCAAGAACAGGCTCTCGGACACGGCCTCCCGGAGCACCGTGCCGTCCCGCATCCAGGTCAGCAGCGGCAGGGGGTTGCTGTCCGCCCCGCAGAGCAGGCTGACGTGCGAGCCCTCGATGGCTTCCACCGAGGCATTCATCTCCACGATCACAGGGGGGTCTGAGGCCCGCGACACAAGGACGGGGTGGGGGTCAGCGGGCTGGG